TAGCTCCATAAGCTTAATGACATATAATAATAATAATCCTTATTCCTCCTCTACTAAGACCTGGGCTAACATTGTTAAACAGAATCAATCAGTCACCTCTACCTCTGTCACCAAGTCTAAGCCTCCTAACAGATCCCCTGATCTTGTGCCTGAGCCTGAGAGGACCCTGATCCTCAAATCCACCCATCCTCCTACCAACTTCAACCAACTTTAGATCAGAGAAGCCATGAATCAAGCCTTACAGAAGGCTCACTTGAACATTACTGTGGTTCTGGTCAGGCTATCTGTTAATAACAACATTGTTATTGAAGTGAAGCCTGGCAACACTGCAGCTGAGTTGAAGGAGCAGGAAACTGTCTGGAGCCATCTGGTACTTGGATTACAGGAAGTGGTTGACAGGGAGAAATGGTACAAGTTGGTTGCACACTCTGTTTCTACTGACATGATTGTGGCAGACAGTGAGGAGAAGGAAATGGAAGCCTTCAGAGAGGACATTGAGACCTACAACCAGGATATTCATCTGGCTGCTCCACCCAGATGGCTGACCAGAGCAGAGGCAAGAGCAGGAAAGTTACACTCCTCCCTAGTTCTTTGCTTTAAAACTGCAAGAGAATTGAAGCATGGACTGAGAAATAGACTTGTCATTGCAGGAACTTCTGTAAGAACTTCAGAGTTCATGGACACCAGACCCACCTCACAATGCAGAAACTCTCAGAAGTTTGGACATCATCAGAAAGTCTGCAGGCAGGATCCTAGGTGTCAACTCTGTGGTGGAACTCACCCCACTATGCTACACCAATGCTGTACCTGTCAGGTTAACAAGGAGTGTTCTCATACCCAGTTCAAGTGTGCTAACTGTGAGGGATCTCACAAATCTACTGACTTAAGGTGTGAGGTTTATAGGAATATTGTCAAGAAACCTGAACCTCCTGCTGCTGTCAACCCCTCTCATTCCTTATGAGAGGCTAGCCAATCTCTATTATCCAGCACAATTGTACAAAGACTTATGAAGTTCTGACCTCTCTCCTTCACTACACTAATGGCAAAGCAGATATTATTTTGCTTCAAGAGCGCTGGCTGGCATCTGATGGCACTCCTTACTCTCACCCCTCCTTTGATTCTATTCTACCTGATACTGCTGATGGTGAAAAACCTAGAACTGCTGCCTACATTAGCAAATCCAGACAAGATATCTTTTGTTCCTATAGAGATGACCTTCTTCCTCACCTTGATGGTGATATCCTTCCACTCCAGATTCTAGCTGGAACAGAGAAGTTTACCCTTTAGAATATTTATAATGAAAGAAGAAAACTAATACCAGACTCTAGACCAGTCTATACTATGGACAGAACTTTACAGTACATTCAGCTACCACCATCCTCAATCCTTTGTGGTGACTTCAATGCCCATCAACCCTGGTGGAATTCAGAAGTTCAACAGCAAATCAGAGGTGACTCTCTAGTGGACTGGTTTATAGCTAACAGGTGTGATCTGGTCAACTACCCTGATACTCCTACCTACAACTACAGACAAGGAAATGGGACTTCAATATTGGACTTAACACTAGGCACTCCTGATATCTTTGACAGGCTAGTTGACTGGGCTGTGGATCAGGATGCACATACTGGAAGTGACCATGAGGTGGTAAGATTCTCCCTAGTATTGGATGCTAACTACTTAGTTCCAAGTCCTATGAGCAACAAATTCAACTGAAAGGCAGCAGATTGGAAATCTTTTCACAAGACACTGCAGGAATTAATGGCTAAGTCTTCCCCTACATTTACTCTCCTGCTTTATAATGGTACAGCTGAATTCTTAGACCAGGCTGCATGTATTCTCACAGACTCAATTCACCAGTCTCTCTCTCTACATATTCCTCTTAGCAAACCTTGCTCTAGATCAAAGAGGTGGTGGACTGAGGAACTTGCAAGTATGAGGACTGAGATGGCCAAATGCTGCAGAATATGGAAACACTGCAGACTTGAGACTGACTACACTGACTACAAAAGATCTAGGAATGGGTACTTTAGGAAAATCAGAGCCAGCAAATCTAACAGCTGGAAGGGTTTCCTCAACTCTGCTAGGGGTCAAGATATCTTTACTGCAGTTAAGTATACTAGACCAACTAAGTCCCTCAAAAGTGCTCCCTTATCTTTTGACCTACAGTGTACTACTGACTTTGATAGTAAGTGCATGATGTTCAGAGAAGCCATGTTCCCTAATCCACCTGCAAGCAAAACAACTTTCAACCCTGAGGATAGAGAAATAGATAAGTGCTTTCCCTGGTATGATATTACTGACAAGGAGGTGAAAGATGCAATCTTCAAATCTGCACCTCATAAAGCTCCAGGACCTGATGGTATTAACTTTCTTTGTCTGAGGCAAGTGTATCATGCAATTCCTATCCCTCTTGTTAAGTTATTTCAAACTGTACTGAAGACAGGGTATCATCCCCAATGCTGGAGAGAGGCAACTGGAGCTATAATCAGAAAACCTAACAAAGCAGACTACACTACCCCCAAAGCTTATAGACCTGTCTCTCTGCTAAACTGCTTAGGAAAGATTTAAGAAAAGATAATGGCCAACAGACTAGCTTACATTGCAGAAACTAAAGGCCTTCTTCACTCAGAGCAAATGGGAGGAAGGAAAGGAAGAAGTACAGTGGATGCAGTGATGGCATTAACACATGATATTCAGCAGGCTAAGTTGAATGGTAAAGTCCTTTCTGCCCTCTTTGTTGATGTTAAAGGTACATTTGACCATGTTAGTAAAACACAACTACTCTTGGTGCTACAGTCTTTAGGATTTCCTCCACCAGTTCTTACTTAGACAGATAGCTTCCTCTCCAACAGGAAACTGGGGTTAGCTTTTGATAGACAAAGACAACCTCTCCTGCCAGTCAACACAGGCATTCCTCAAGGGTCTCCCATTTCACCCATCCTCTTCCTATTCTACTTAACAAACCTGTTCAAGGACTTGGAACCAGGAGTTTTGACTCCACAGCTAAGATCCCCCTCCTTTATTGATGATATTGCTTTCATAGTCACAGGCCCCTCTGAGCAGGCTAACTCCAAGGCATTGGAGGTAGTAGCCAGAAGGGCCTGGAGTTGGGCAGCTGACAATGTAATAGTATTTGATGATCCCAAGACAGAACTCATGCACTTTTACAATAAAACAAGAGACTTTACTACCAACTCCCCTGTCACTCTTCCTCATGGCACTGTTGTCTTCCCTTCTCAGCATCTTAGATGTGTAGGAGTTTGGCTTGACAGGAAGCTTTTGTTTAACTACCATGTGAAACAGAAGACAGCTGCAGCAACTAGGGCACTTAACATGATTTCTAGATTATCCAACTCAGAATGGGGCCTTTCAGCACCAGCAATGAGGCAACTATACTATACCTGCATTACTCCAATAGCTGACTATGGAGCAGAGGTCTTGTGGAAAGGTCAAATTGGTCTTGCTAACAAGTTACAGAAGTTGCAGGCAGAGGCAAACAGAAGAATCTTGGGGGCTTTCAGAACTTCACCAACTGCTGCAATGGAGATTGAAGCAGCGACCCTTCCCATTCCATTGAGACTTGACAGACAGTATAAGAGATATGCTTACAGAGTTTTACAGATCCTGTCAGACCATCCTATCAGGCAGAGAACACCCAGCTCATTCCCAAGCACCCTTTCCTCATCCATTCCACTAGACAGACCATGCTCCTCCTCCTCTGAGAGTGACATATCTTGGACCTCTACCTACAAGCAACATAACAGAACATACTTGTGGAATCCTCAGCATGAGCCATAGAGCAAGATGCAGGCTGATTGGAGGAAAACTGATTCTGAGCAAGCCAAGTTCCCCACCCAACTAATAAAAGTGTTAAATACACTAAGTTCATTCCTGCCTGTAGGACAAGATGTTGAACAGTGTTACCCAAACCTGCAACTACCCTGGGATACCAACCTGCCTGACACCACCTCCAGACTTGACATCACTATCAGCCAGGAAGACAAAGACACTGTAGCCAAAAGTCATATTACTCTCCTCAACTCCCTCAACAATTCAGAAAACCTTGTTCTCTACACAGATGGAAGTGAACTGCAAAATGGAAGAGTAGGAGCAGGAGTGGTAATGATGCATGGTGGTGGGATTGTTGGAAGATAGAGAGATGGATTAGGATGTGGGATGAAGGTGTATGATGGGGAATTGGTAGGTATTGTCAGAGCACTCACAGAAGCCAGCAGGTCCAGCCTATCCTTCAAGCACATTTGGGTTTTCACAGACAACCAAGCAGCAATCAGCAACTCTCACAGACTCTCTCCCCACCCTGGACAACAAATTTCTCAACAGATTCAACAACTTACAAAGGACCTTCTATCCTCTGACCTGGACTTACAGCTTCATCTCCATTGGATACCAAGTCACAGTGGTATTCAAGGTAATGATGAAGCTGACAGACTTGCAAAACAAGCAGCTGAGTATCCCCAACCTGATATAGACAGTTATCTCTCACTGACCAAATTGAAGACACAGATCAAGCAGTCTGCCCTTAAAGCCTGGCACCAGTACTGGACACAGCTACAACCAGCTAAACAGGGCAGATATCATAGGTCTATCCACTTCTACCTACCTTCTCTGCATCCTCCACTACACTTCTTTCAGCTCCACAGACCACAACTTGCAACTGTCACCCAACTTAGACTTGGGCATGGCTACTTCAATTCCTATCTCAGCAGATTGGATGAGAATGTTAGTGACAGATGCAGTTGTACTAAGAGCACACCACCACCACAGACACCAGAACACCTGATCCTATACTGCAGCAGATACCAACAGCATAGACACCTCCTAAGATCAGTGGCTCAACACTTTCACCTCCCAGATGTGCTTGGATCGAAGGCTGGGCTACTGGGTTTCGGAGAGTTTGTGAGAAAGAGTTGAGTTGCAACTAGGCAAGGCCACCTTGGACAACTGCCAGAGTGTGAGGGCTCTGGAAATTGAAGTAGTGGGATGGAGGATACAATTTGGGAAGAGGCGGAAGGAGGACTGGGATATGAATGGGAGGAGACAGAGGTAGAGAGATGGAGGGAATGGAGGATGGCAGCAGGCCAGGGGCTGGAATAGAGGGAAATTGAATGGCAGAGGGCCCAGTGAACAGGAGACACAATGATGGAGGAGATGGAATTAAGAACCAGTAGTGGGAAGCACTACAATCATGTACTTTCCCAGCTTCATAGCCTTTGGCTCCATAAGCTTAATGAGATATAATAAATAATAATAATAATACCCTCTGATGCCTCCGCAGCCAAGAGGCAGAGGTAGCGGTGCAGCCAACCCCCTGGCACAGCCATTCCAACCCCACCAGAATACCCCAGCTCCAACGACGCCTAGTGACAGCCAAATGGCTGAAGACATCCCGTCTCCTGTGGATACATTCCAGCCTCCAGCTACTCCAAACCAGCATACACCAGGCTCTCCTCAGTGGTCCCGATGGGAACCAAACAACCCTGAGAGAGATGCCTCATTCAACACCAAACTTCGAGTCAGCTATCTGGAGAACTCCTTTCAATCACTCATCAATCACCTCAGTGTTGTCCAGCAAAGACACATCAGTGATACAGCTGTCTTGAAAGGGCAAATTGACGAGCTCAACCAACAAATTTCACACCTACAAGAACAGCTTCAACAGCAAGCCTACACCCCGGCTCCCCCACCCCCAATACTACCAAACCGCCCACATCAGCCAACCTGGGCCCAGAGGACAGCCAAAACATTCCCTGCCCACCCCTCTACCACTACACCAAACAGGACTTCACCAGCTCAAGTTTTGACCAAACGCGACCATACCATTGTTATTGAAAGAGATGGCACTGCCCTCCCAGATGACATGAACCACCTCCACATTCGCGATGCTGTCAATACAGCAACCAAAAAACAGCTCATCTCAACCCTTCTGTTCACGCCTAACCACCATGTCCTCCTCATTACCAAGGATAACACTCCTGCCTCCACTGTCCTCAAGAACCACTGCTTTGTTATTGAGGAAGCTATTAGAGCTACCATTCCTGCCGCCTCTGGCCTCAGAAAAGATGAAGTCTGGCATAAGGTCATCATTCACGGCATCCCGACTACTACTACCTTCCCCACAGTGCAGGCAGAGATTGAAGCATTCAACCCTGGCACCCACCTCCCCCGCCCTCCCAGATGGCTCACTACTGAAGCCCAACACCAGAACAAAGCTGCATCAGCTATGGTTGTCACGATTGCAGGCAAAGACCCCACAGACAAAGCCCTCAGTAGAGGCCTCTGCCTTTTTGGCAGGAAGTTTAAGGTGCAACGTTACCTCACCTTTGGTCCTGACACCCAGTGCTCCAGATGCTTGGAGTTTGGCCACCACCCAACCCGATGCAACAAGACCCCACACTGCGTGATCAGTTCTCAGGAACACCCAGCCCACCTCCACACTTGCGGAAGATCAGACTGCCCTACCAAGGGCAAACCGTGACTTCATACCACCATCCTCTGCCTCAACTGTGGCAACAATCACCTTGCGACCTCTAAAGATTGTCCTACCTACCTACATGCACAGCAGGCAGTCACTGATAGGAGGAGCAGGGCTGTTTAGGTTTTATTATATTGTATTTCCTTTATCTGTTAGGCTTTAGGCAGGTAGGAGGATTTATTTTGTTGTTTGCACCTTGGCCCGGGTGCCCAGCAAAAAGATGACACTATCATGTAGTAAGAGACGGATCCATAGCTGTTAAGAATCCTACCAAGTAGGAACTAGCGACAGGTAACGATACTTCTCTGTAAGGTGATAGCTCTCCGGCGTATGCCTACCCAATCCCGATAGTCCAGTCCTTGGACTATTATTGTGTTCGCGCCTATCTTCTTATTCTTCTTCCAAGTCCTCACTTAGGACTTAATCTCTTCTCGTGGGAGGAAAGACGCTTCTCGGATTGCTTAAGATAAATCTTAAAGAGCGTAAAGGTTGGTTTTATTGATAATAACTTAAAGGTAGGAAATAAACTAGAAGAACGTGTGAAGAGCTCACACTCGGGGTCCTGGTGACCCTTTATATAGTCGCTCTTCACCTGGCGTGACTCATACCTCGCATCACACGAATCCTGTAACTCATAACCTCGAGTCATATGAAATCCATCAGATGACTCCTATGAGTCGATGCGCAACATACCTAAAACCAATCAAAACATAATAACTAAGTCAGGTGCGCAACTCGGGTCACCTGAGTGAAACCCATGACTCATAAGTGTGAGTCATGTGCGAAAATCATAACCTCGTGTGACTCACAACTGTGAGTCACGAACAGGTAAACATAATAACCTATGGCGGACTAGTGTACGTCATGTAAAATCCCAAAATACCTATAACTCGGAAATCCGAGTTATGTGAAATCTGCCTTGCTGAGTCACAGTTTGTGACATTAGCTCCTCTCTCCCTCAGCCTGAGTCCCATCAGGCTTCAGTCTTGTATTCCCCATCTTCTTCCTTCGGGTAGCGGATAGTACCTATTCGCTCCCATGTTTACCCTGACCACTCTGGCCAGATTTCTTCTCGCTTCCTTCTCTTCTTTTCTCCAGTCGTTCTGGAGATCCTTTCTCATGTTTCTTTCTCCTTGCAACTCCTCTGTCAATTTGTTGTTGCTCCACCTCTCCCTTTCCAGCTCCTTCTTGAGCTCCTCTATCTTTTCTGCCTAATATTCCAACACGCTGCTGGTTTCGACCTTCTCGGCTAGCCACTTCATTTTGACCTCTTTCGAGGTCTTGGGTTCCGTCTCTTCTTCCATCTCTTTTTGCCAGGAAACCTGCTTCGATTTCCTGGGTCTCACCCATCCTTTTTGTTTTTTCGCCCCCCTCCTCCTCGATTCTGTCCTCGGAGCCTGTTCGATGTATTGTACCAGATTCACTGGCTCTGGTCTGGGGGATTTTGTTGGTGTCGGGGATCTCGTTGGTGATCTCAGAGGTGAAGTCTTGGGTGGCCATTGGTTCCCCTTCCGAAGCCAGTATCCTGAGCCTACTTTCTCGCTTTGGTGCACTTGGCACTCGTCGTCGTAGCAACCTGTCCATGACCGGTTCGCATGTTCCCTTTCTGGTGTGGTGGTCCTTCTCAGATTGAGGTCCACAAGATTGGTCCAGTCTTCGTAGTTTAGCTCCTCCTTGATGGGAGTTGGGACGGGGTTGGAGTTCGATATCCCGGGCTCGTTGGTGTAATGTGTTTGAATGCATCGCGCTCCGGCGTGTTCTGTAGGGTTGACGGCATCGTCATCGCACCTCTTCCCGTGGGATATTCCCACAGGTAGAACTCTGTACGCTATAGCATGGGCGTTACACGCCCTGAATCAGGTATGTCTTCGACTATCGGTTGTTGCTTTGCGGGAGTATTTTCGGTGGAATTGGTCGACTGCATTTTGCGTGTGATTGATGTTCTCCGCTGGATACCAAGTCTTGTCGTGTTCCGGCTAGTATCCAGTCCACTTTGCTCTGTACTGCAAGCAACCGTAGTGTAATCGAGAGTCGACCATTTCTTCTAGTTCGTATTCTGATTCACTGTCGATTTCGATAGGGGGTGGTGTGGGTTTCTCTTGATATGGTAGAGGATTGTCTTGATAGAGTTCGAGGAGGCTGATGTGGAAGGTGTTGTGTATTTTCATTGACGGCGGAAGGTCAAGCTTATAAGCGCGACTTGCTATTTTCGCCAATATCCTGAATGGTCCTATTTTCTTGTAATCCAGTTTGTTCATAGGTCACGTGGTTCTGATGTTGCGTGGTAGTAACCACACCCTATCTCCTGATGTTAGGTTTGGATCGGGTTTTCTGTGGTGATCGTAGTCTTCTTTCTGTTGTAATTGTGCTGTGACCATTTCGTTTCTTAATGTGTCATGTAGTTGACTCATATCCTTTTTATCCATTATCTTTCCTTGGAGCATATGACCTATGGCTTCGTATTCTGGATGTGTGCCATAATTTGCGAAGAAAGGAGTCGTCTTGATTGTTTCTTTTTTTCCGTTATTGTAGGCGAACTCGGCAAGTGGTAGCCAGTCATACCAGTCATCTTGTTGGTAGTTGACGTATGCGCGGAGATATTGTTCCAATATGCCGTTAATTCTTTCTGTTTGCCCATCGGTCTGGGGGTGGAAGGATGTGCTCATTCGTCTTTCGATTCCTAACTTTTCCGTTGTTTTCTCCCATACTTCCAAAGTAAATAGTGATCCCCGATCGCTAATGATGTCTTTGCGTAATCTGTGTAGGCGGTATATTTCTTTTAGGAATATGGTTGCAAATTGCCTGGCTGTCATATCCGTTTTGCATGGTATGAAGTAATTCATTTTGGTCAGGTGATCTACTACCACTAGTATGGCGTCATGATCCTTCGACTTGCGTAGTTCGGTTATAAAGTCTAATGATATAGACTTCCATGGTTTTTCCGGGGCCTCATTTGATTTGAGTAATCCATAAGGTGCATGTCATACCACTTTGGTTCTTTGGCACATGTCGCCATTCTTGACATATCGTTTGATGTCTTCTCTTATCTTGGGCCAGTAATATCTTCTGTTGATGAATTCGGTAGTTTTGCCAGTTCCTCCATGCCCAGCATATGGAGGGTCGTAATGGTGTCGTATGATTTCTGTGCGCAATTCTTCCTTGTTTGGTATCCAGATTTTCCCTTCGTACCACAGGTGATCATCTTCCCATTACCACAATCCCAAGGCTACTCCCTTGGTTTCCTTGATTCCTTGTGCCAGTTTTTCCTTAATGGCCTGGATCTCCGCGTCTTGCGAACTTTCTCTCCTGATATGTTCTTCCAATGCTGTCCGTGTATTGATTTCATTCA